CCCCCAAGACTGCCGCATGTGACCTGAGGGTTTCCCGCTGTGGGGTAACTCTGGGGCTTCCGGCTGGGTGACCTTGGGGAAACCGACAGTCAAAATGCCTTTCGATGTGGCGCGTGGGAAACCCATGATGTCACCCCTTTCCGAAACCTACGGGTCACCCTGAAGTGACATCAAGGCTAAGAAAGGGGAACGTGAGGGTTACATTTTTCCGAGGCGCGACCCTAATACACGAAGTCAACACCCTCGCGCTGACTTAAGCCTCTAGCTACGTAGCACGCCTTGAATACCGACGGCTCTCCAGGAGGGCGCTTCACCTTGAAGAGCCACCGGCCATCGACTATGTTCGCCTTGAACTGCGTCGACGTAGGTGCTGGTGGATCTCCAAGATGCCATCTCTGCGTCCATGGCAGCTATCCACTGAGAGGCTCAGGGTCCCGAGGTAGCCTCAGCGTAATTGCGATGGGTCGGGATGTCAAAGGCGTCTGGGTCCCCCTTAATGACTAGCAGCATGGAGCACTGATGAGGCGCGGCCTCGAAAACGAAAGCAAGCTCGTACTACCGGTCCTCCAGGAAGTCCTGGAGCACCCCTGACGGACGAAGGAGGAGCAGGGTCGAAGACCAGAGTGGTGACGTAGTCAAGGCGGTGGGTAGAGGCGAAGTCAGCGACGGCAGCGACAAGTGCATAAAGACTCGAGAGAGGAACGGACGGGTCGGTAAGGAGGGAGGCAAGGACCCGAGGAACAAGAGGACTAGCAGCACAAAGGTAGTCAAAGAGAGGAGGTGGAGCAACAACAAGTGAGGACGGAGGAGGTGATGCGAGTAGGGGAGGATAAGATGCGTGGGAATGAAGCAACATAGGGTGGGAGCACTGAACAGGAGAGACAAGATGAGCACGGGAGGGTTGGCGAGACCAGACGTGAGACGATAGCGTCGGGTCAAGAGATAGGGGAGGAGATATAGGAGGAGAACGAGGGGGAAGACGAGCCGTAGACGAGTCCGTTGGAGGAAAGACAGAGCCGTGGACAGGGAGGGAAGGCAGCGGCGGAGGAGGCGCAGGCGGGGGGTCAGGGGAGGGAAGACCAAGGAGGCGAAGGGCAGACACCGGCGGCAACTGCGGCTCCTACTGCAGCTCCTCCATGCCAACACCGGAACCTCCAGCTACACCAAGGCTACCTCTAAGACACTCCACTCCAACACCCCCAGCACGAGAACCCTCTCCAGCACCGGTGCCACCCTTGAGACCGCCAGGACAAGCCACAACAGTAACCCCGGGACTAGCACTCCCAGAACCAGCACCCCCATAACTCTCGAACCAAAGCAACTGTTGCGGCTGCGGCGGCGACGACAGTTGCAACGGCGGCAATGGCTGCAGCTGCTGCGGCGACAGAGGAGGGGGCATCGGGGCAGAGATAGGTGGCAACACTAACTCCGCGGGGCCCACGGAGTCAGCGAACTCCCCAACCGGGACAAAGGAATAAAGGGGAGTGACGTGCGACACGCCAGACGGGGCAGGACGGGGAGGGGGGGGGGGGGGGGTTGGGGCTACCTGGGGAGTGGGAACCGGAAACAGAGGCGGAGAAACCGGGAGACCTCGGTGGGGAAAGGGGTGGTAGAAGGAGACAGACTCATCAAGAGTGACGTAACGCAAGTGCAAGAAGCGGTGAGAAGGCGGATAATAGAAGTGCCAGTCAAACGTGTCAAGCGGGAAACCAAGGAAAACACAAGGAATAGTGCGGGCAGTGAGCTTGTCCGTGCCAGATGCACAAACGTGAGCAAAGCAGCCCTAGATGTGGAACGCTGATGCGTCACCAGGTAACCTGGTCCAGAGAAGGGTTGGCGAAACCTACGGCCGCTGGGAGTGCGGCCAGAGGTTAAGCTGGTAAGCGGCGTAGCGAACAGCGAACGGCCACAGAAAATGGGGTGCACCGGCCTGGATCATGGAGGTACAAGCCACCTCCATAACCAAATCGATGCGTTGCTCAGCGACCCCATTCTGCTGTGGGGAGTCCGGTAGGGTGTACGACTAGGTGATGCCCTCCGCACGACAGAACTACTTAAGCCGATCGGAGGCAAAATCGCCATCACGGTCGGAGTGGAGACGCAACATAGGGTGACCGCGGAGGACTCGCACAGCAACAAACCACGGGATAAGAACGTCAGGCATGTCGGCCTTCCGTTCAAGGGGAAAAACCGTGGTGTAGCATGTGAAGTCCTTCAAAAGCACTAGAAAGTAGCGCTCCCGACGTGGCCCAAGGACGGGGGCTGGGCTCCAAACGTCCAGGTGCAGGGTCTAGAGTGGCGCAGTGGTAGCGGGAAGCGCAGAGGAGTGAGGAGCACGGCGCACCCAGCCCTCGACGCAAGGCGTACACAGCAGCGCAGGCGAGGGGGGAAGGGTAGGGAGCAACGACGGGAGACCAAGGACAAGACTGTGATGGGACATGAAACGCAGACGCAGGAGTGCGGGGTGATTTGGGTGGTGGTGCCACAGCAGCGACGGGTGAGTGAGCGAACGACACGAGCAAGCCGCGGTGACCTGAGTAGCCGCAGGCACTTTGGGAGACGCCCTCACCGGGGGGGACGAAGTGTCAAGCGTAAACGGGCTGGACACGTCCCGGGAGAATGTGGTCGGAGGGGCGCCAGTGGCGGCCTCGGTACAGACCACGTACTGCTCGTGTCCAGGGAACGTAGTGGTGACGCCAAGGTCCTGAAGACAGCCGACACCAACTAGGTTCCTAGAGAACGAGGGGATGTGCAGGCCCGTAAGAGAGCCCAAGGGGACCGCCGGACAAGGGAAGGTAGTGGAGCTATGGGCTACTACCAGACCTGAGGAAGGGTCAGCGAGTGCGACAGCGGTGGGGGCAGCAAGTGGCGTGAGCACGTGGTCATGAAAGTAGCAGGCGGACGTGCCAGAGTCAAGCGTAAAGGAGAGCAACGTACTAGCGTCAGCCGACGGAGGGGCAAGCGTAGAGCCTAGGCTAAACAAGGCGGAGGGTCCTACGCCTAACGCAGTAGGGGAGCCTAGACTACACACAATGGACAAACCTACGCTAGGCAACACTCGATAATAGGGTCCAATCACACTAGAGTCATCAGCATACATGAGAGACATAGCAGCCCTAATCCGATCCATGTCAAGCTCAAAGACCGGCACATGGCGGCTAGCTAGAGCATTCCAGTCAGGAGGGTCCGATGTGGGATCGAAGCTGCGGCAGAAAAGGTTGTCCAGGTGGCGGTAGCAGCCCTCTGTGGTGTGGCTAGACCAGGAGCAGACGGTGCCGCAACGGGGGCTGGTCTGACCGCACAGGAGACGCCACCCGACACCGAGCTTCGGCCGCCACCACCACGACCACCGCCACCAGCGTCGCCAGTCCACCACGGCGGTGGGGGTCCCCACAGCCACTGCTGCTGCTGGTGCTGCGATAGCTGCTGCTGATGCTGCTGCTGAGTCTGGTGATGCTGCTGCTGCTGAGGCGGCGTCTACTGCTGCTGCTGCTCCGGGGCACCGGCCACTGTCCCCTCGTCTGATCCACCATCCTCGCCCCCACTTCCTCCACCCTTCCCACCCCCACCCCCCTTCCCTCCACCACGCGCTACCTTGAGGCGGTGGCCCTTACCCAAACGCGACTGAGCTGAGGCCGCAGCAGCGGACTCAGCAACAGCAGCAGAAACGTCAGAGTAAGAGCACTAGGAGGGAGCACATCCCTGAAAAATAGGGACCGACGTAGTACCGTTAGACTGAGCGATAGTGCATTGGCGGCTCTCCATCATGGATAGGGCTCTGACAAAGGCAGGAAGGGTGAGGTCACCCCGGTGCTGACTGAGGAAGTGGTTGTGGAAAGTGGCTAGGCGGTCGGGTTGTGTGGCAAGGAGGTACAGGGTAGCGCAATGCGGTGGCGGAAAGGCAATGAGCTGAGCCTCAGTGCTAGCAGCACGGTAGCTAGACTCAAACATGCATAGGTGGGTGGCCTGGTCAGCGACAGTGGGGAAGGATGCAAGTTTAGGGAACAGCATGGGGAGGATCAGGCAGCTAGCAGAGGCGGAGGCGGGCGTGGAATAGCGTGCAACTAAGGCCTCTAAGAATTCCTGGGCATTCGCTACAGCAGTGAAGTGCGGACGCTCTGACTGGGGGGCCTGAACTAATGGCAAGCTACGCGACAGTGTCGCGCGATTCCCAAATAGTACGATCAAGCACCACTGCGGAAAAGGCCTCATGCTCAGCAGTAGTGGGGGCAGCAGGGAGGGCAACAAGCATAGTGGGGGGGGGAAGCAGGCCATTGATATGAACAGCCAGAGAATGACCATCTTGGCGCTGACCTGTAAGGTGACGGTGGAGGTCGATGAGCCACGTCTCGAAGTCTATCGCCTGACCCTTGTTGGTGCATATTCGTTTGCACGTCATCCTATCGTCTGTTCGCATCATTTCGTTGCATGTGTTTTGTGTGCTACGTTGTTTGTATGGTTTGTTGGGTTTGCATGTCTTTGCATGTTCATCTTGTGCTTGTGCAGATGTGCTTGGATTGTGCATGACATCGAGCACATTCCAACGAACCAAGAATTGTTGGAATCGGAGCACATATGAAGAAGTTACGAAGAAATGTTTGATGGATTTGTTACAACTCATTGGAAGTCCTTGTCAGCTGCTACACCAAAGTTGGAGAGCCCTATAACGAGGAGGGACCAGCATGTGTGGGACTCTTGTCCCCACCCTGCAGCTGCAGCATTTGGGGTTTGGAGGCCAACCTGGTACAGTGTGAATTTTGTCTTACTAGGCTGGCTGAACTTGAGGATGGGGAGTCAAGACTTTGACTCTTGTCATGTTCTTGACCATGGGCCTCCAGGGTCCTTCCCTTTCATCCTTCCCTTCCATCCCTACCTTCCAATTGTGCTTCAATGCCATTTCTATCATGCCTCTGAGGATTGTCAACTTCTCCTAGGGCAGATTAACCCCCAGTGCGCCAAACGCCATAGCTCACTCGTTAAGCTACGGAATCGAGTGATTCAACTTTCATAGGAAAGCTGACGCTGCAAGCTACAACATATCTGATTTTCAGATCGTTTCACCGATTGGAGTTTTGGATATAGCTTTTCGAAGGTCGCGAGTTTTCTGGGCGTCATAACGAAGTGCTGCAGAAATTTCCAAGGAGCCATTGAATCATCTGCTTATAGCCTTCTCTAACCAACAAGTGGTATCAGAGCCCATTATCACGCATTTGGGACCTAAAATATGATGGGAGATAAGGAGGACTCTGGTGGAGATAATACTTCAGTCCAAGGAGGCAGCTCAACCCAAGATTCTGGCATTGCAGCGCAAAGGGGAGCGCGTACAAGCCAGGGGTCACTGCTTAAGGAGGTGCTGAAGAACTTCACCATTGAGAAGTTCTCTGGAGATGGCTATGATGATTGGGCATGGAAGATGCAGCTCTACTTTCGACAAATTGGCCTCTTGAAGCTCATGATTGGAACGGAGCCAAGGCCAAAGGAAATGGCAGTGCAAGCGGACTGGGATGAACGTTCATCTGCTGGGTATTATCTACTGTCACAAAGCTTGGAGCTGAACCAGAGGCATCACATCATGCATCTGCTACCGGAAATTGATTGTGGGCCCAAGGCATGGGCAGTGCTCAAGGACCTGCATGCTCCGACATCGGTTGCCGCTTCTCTCATGCTGGATCGGGAGTTGTTCACGCCGCGGTTGAGCGAGAATGAACCTGTGCAGCCCGTACTGGACAAGATGAGGGAACTCTACGCGAAATTGGCGATTGCGGGCATCACGTACCCTGAGCAGACTAAGTGTCTCAAGATGCTCAGCACCAGCGGCTATGCCATGCAAGGGACATGGAGGGATCGAGGGCGTGGCAATCGCAATCGCAAAAGGGGAATGGAGGAAAGCAACCACATGGAGGTGCCAACATGGTAGCTGATCCTGCTGAAGAAACCTCCAAGGATGACAGAGGATTGGGAAATGAGGAGAGGAATGCTGGACAGTTCTACCATGTGTGTGACAAAGATGACAGTGGCACAGCTGTTGCAAGGGCTGGAGAGGAACTGCACCCGCTTGACATGTGGGTCATGGACTCTGGTGCTGCATGGACAATGACACCACGCAAGGACTTGCTGGATGCTGTGCGAGCGCCTCCAATCTCCGAAGTGCGCTCAGCATCCGGACATGCAGTGAAGGTCGCTAGAGTTGGTCGAGCTGCATTTAGAGCACCTGATGGTGGACTGGTTGTGCTGAAGGACGTGTTACTCGTACCGGGGCTGAAGGCCAATTTGATATCGCAGCGCAAGCTAGGCTAGGCCGGAGTCAGCACCACCACCAATGGATCCAAAACATTCAAGGGGCTGCGAGGAGATCGTGTGTTATGGGATTTACACGAAAGCAGAGATGTCTTCAGATCCATGTGGCAGATCCCTGCACTGATATGGGAATCAACAAAGAAGGAGTTGGGAGCAGTAAAGGCGGGATCTGGAGTCCTGGGGGAGTGCAATGCAGTTAGTGCTGCAGGAGTGACGGTTTCTGCAAGGTCGGGGGAGACTGATTGGGAAACCGCACACAGGCGTCTAGGGCATGTGGCTATGCCATTGCTGCAGCAACTGGAACTGGTGCACATGGACCTGGTAGGACCTTTTCCAGTCCGAGGAAGTAAGAGGGAAAGGTACTTCCTGACAATAGTTGATGACTGGAGTCGGCTGATGTGGGCATACCCGTTGAAGCAGAAGGATCATGCTGCCTCAACAATACGAGATGACTGGCTGCCGTTCGTCGAGCGACAATCTGGGCACCCATGCAAGAGCATCAGAACCGACCGAGGTGGAGAGTTTCTAGGAGGAGATCTGACTGCGTGGCTCAAGAAACAAGGCACTGAGTATCAGCTAACGACGTCCTATACCCCTCAGTCAAATGGCATTGCTGAGAGGGCTAATAGGACCATCCTGGAAACTGCGCGAGCGCTGCTGATCGAATCAAGGCTGGGGAACTCCATGTGGCCTCATGCGGTGAGGCATGCTACAGTGGCAAGGAACCGCGTACTCACAAAGGTAGCTGATGATATGTGGGTGCCGCTGGAGAGGTGGCTTGGAAAGAAGCCTCCAGTGGACATGCTCAGAGTGTTCGGATGCATGGCAGTGGCGCATGTCCCTAAACCGTACAGGACAAAGCTTGGAGCATCTGCACTGTGGTGTGTGCACCTTGGACTTGCGGCAGAGAGCAAGGGGTGGCTACTCTGGGAGCCCTCGAAGAATGTGCTGTTTGACAGTCGGGATGTCAAATTTGTGGAGAACATCATGTATGGCAAGTGGGAGAAGCAGCCGGAGGCAAGGGTTACCCAGCAGCTGGAAGAGATCACTATGCACTTCGATTTGTCCGAACCTGAGGACAGCGAAGTCACTGCGCCAACGGCAAGCGGTACTGATGAAGGAAGCAATGAGGATATTGCAGTTGATGCTGAAGTCAAGGATCCGGAGCAGCAGCAGCAAGAGGCTTCCAAAACACCAAGTCTGCCAAAGCGAAGGAAACAGATTGGTGGGGGGACAAAGGATTGGGTGAAGGTGAAAGAATGGGTAAATCCAACCATCTACCCTGCACGTACCAGAATGGCAACGAGAAAGCTGCTGAGCTCTACAAGTGGAGGAGCCACAACTGAGCAGCAGGAACAGGCTCAAGGCGAAGATACAGTGCTGTTCTTGGGTGATGACCAAGAGTCAGATGACGAGGAGCCTGCATACTGCTTTTACGCACCAATACAACCTCCGAGCATGGATCATGCGCTAGCTTGGCCTCAACGGGGGAAGTGGCTCGTTTCAAGAGATGCAGAGTACAACAGCCAGATGGAGAATCACATATGGGACCTGGTGTACTTGCCAAATGGGAAGAAGGCAATACAGTGCAAGTGGCTGGCAAAAATCAAGACGGATGAGAAAGGAGAGCCATCCGTTTACAAGAGCAGGCTGGTGGCAAAGGGGTTTCAGCAGAAAGAGAAAGAAGATTACAAAGAAGTGTTTGCCCCAACTGCTAAGTCTCCAACGCTACGTGTGCTGCTGGCGGTAGCTGCTGTGCGCAAATGGAAGGTGAAGCAGATGGACATCGTAACCGCTTTTCTGTACGGCATTGTGGAAGAGGAGGTGTACATGATTCAACCACCTGGCTATGAGGATGGAACCGGTCGTGTCTGCAAACTTAACAAGGCCATCTATGGCTTGAAGCAGGCCCCAAGATGCTGGTACAACAGGCTGGCCAGTGCACTGGAAGAGATTGGATTCCGTGCTAGTGCATGCGACGAAAGCCTATTCCTGATGGGCGAGGGGGAGTCGCTTGTGCTTCTGCTGGTGTATGTGGATGACATCCTGCTCTTCAGCAGCAGTGACAAGGAGATCGATGGGGTGCAGCGGAAGCTCACAGAGCAGTTCAAGTGCAAGTCACTTGGAGAGGCAAGGTACTACCTGGGAATGCACATTGAGCGGGATACTGAACGTGGCTGGCTCAAACTGCATCAGGGACAGTACATCAACACCTTGGCTGAGAAGTACTCTCTGCAGGAAGAACGGGAAGTGGTTACACCTTTGCCTTTCGAGATCAAACTCATAAAGGCAGCTGAAGGAGAAGGAGTTGAAAGTGAAGACCAGAGGCAATTCCAATCCATGGTCAGGAGCCTACTCTACGCTGCTGTGCATACTCGGCCTGACATCAGCTTTGCTGTGGGACAGCTGGCTCGAGTAGTGCAAAATCCAACAGAAGAGCAGTGTGGTGCAGCGGAGAGAGTGGTGCGCTACCTCAAGTCATACCCTACAGTGGGAGTACAGTATTCAGCCTCTGCTCAACTCAGGCAAAAAGGAGTTGAAGTCCTTCAAGAGAAGGGGGAGCAGCTCGGAGAAGGAAAGGTGTTCCTTTCCTGTTTTGCTGATGCCACGTGGGCTTCTGAGCATGAGGATTCATCATCAGTTGGTGGATACATCTGCATGGTGGGAGGTGGGCCTGTAAGTTGGAGGTCCAAGAAGCAGTCTGAGACGGCACTATCTTCAGTGGAATCTGAGTACATGGCGATGTTTCATGCGGCAAAAGAAATCATCTGGCTAAGGAGGCTCTTGAAGGAGATCGGCCATGAACAGACTTGTGCGACACCTCTGTTCAGTGACAGCAAGGGAGCCATTGCCATGGCACGCAATGCAGTTCTTCATGGGTTGAACAAGCACGTGAAGATCAAGTGGCATTGGCTGCGGAAGGAGGTGAAGCTTGGGACACTGGATCCGATCTACGTGAAAACTCAGCAACAGCCAGCCGACTTCCTTACCAAGCGGCTAGCTGAAGAGCCACACTGGCACTGTGCGAGGATGGCGGGAATGTCCTTGAACTAGAGACGGCGAAACAAGCCGACAGTCTGAGGGGGAGTGTGTTGATGCATATTCGTTTGCACGTCATCCTGTCGTCTGTTCGCATCATTTCGTTGCATGTGTTTTGTGTGCTACATTGTTTATATGGTTTGTTGGGTTTGCATGTCTTTGCATGTTCATCTTGTGCTTGTGCAGATGTGCTTGGATTGTGCATGACATCGAGCACATTCCAACGAGCCAAGAATTGTTGGAATCGGAGCACATATGAAGAAGTTACGAAGAAATGTTTGATGGATTTGTTACAACTCATTGGAAGTCCTTGTCAGCTGCTACACCAAAGTTGGAGAGCCCTATAACGAGGAGGGACCAGCATGTGTGGGACTCTTGTCCCCACCCTGCAGCTGCAGCATTTGGGGTTTGGAGGCCAACCTGGTACAGTGTGAATTTTGTCTTGCCAGGCTGGCTGAACCTGAGGATGGGGAGTCAAGACTTTGACTCTTGTCATGTTCTTGACCATGGGCCTCCAGGGTCCTTCCCTTTCATCCTTCCCTTCCATCCCTACCTTCCAATTGTGCTTCAATGCCTTTTCTATCATGCCTCTGAACTTGTAAGCTTCAATCATAGTGACTCTGAGGATTGTCAACTTCTCCTAGGGCAGATTAACCCTCAGTGCGCCAAACGCCATAGCTCGTTCGTTAAGCTACGGAATCGAGTGATTCAATTTTCAGAGGAAAGCTGACGCTGCAAGCTACAACATATCTGATTTTCAGATCGTTTCACCGATTGGAGTTTTGGATATAGCCTTTCGAAGGTCGCAAGTTTTCTGGGCGTCATAACGAAGTGCTACAGAAATTTCCAAGGAGCCATTGAAACATCTGCTTATAGCCTTCTCTAACCAACAACCCTCCGCGCCCAGGCGAAGCTGGGAGTTCGCCATCCCCATGGCCGCAGCAGCTGAATGCCACTGGCAGGAAGAGGAGAAACGGCGAAGGAAAGCCGTGGAGAGCAGAGGAGGGCAGTGGAGAATGGTGGAGTGCGGTGGAGTGCAATGGAGAGCGGTGGAGTGCGGTGGAGTGCGGTGGGGAGCAGTGGAGACAGCCGGTAGGCGTGCCGGCTTAGAAGGGAGCCAAGGCCCGTGGGGTGCTCACGGGCCAGCGAGGCGCTAACGAAGCTAGCGGGGCGAACGGGGCTGGCAGGGCCTACGGGGCCAGCGAGGCAAACGGGGCCAGCGGGGCGCATGGGGCCAAGAGGCCGCTAATGGGGCTAGCGGGCCGATTGGGGCTAGCAGGGGCTACAGGGCCAGCGGGGCGCATGGGGCTAGCGGGGCGCGACGGGGCCAACGGGGCGCACGGGGCCAGGAGGCCGCTAACGAGGCCAGCGGGGCGATTGGGGCTAGCAGGGGCTACGGTGCCGGCGGGGCCCACGGGGCTAGCTGGGCGCTAAGGGGCCAGATGGGTGGACGGGGCCAGCGGGGCGCGAAGGGGCGGCTAGAACTAGGCCTAATGCGGAAGCGCGGGTGGGCGAGGAGACCTAACCTAGCTGTGATTCCATGTTAATGTGAGAAAAAGATGATAGAATGAGAGATACAAGGTGCTTTTGTGCTAAGCAATTCTACTCTCTAAGAGTACGCACCTATCTAGCCTATACGACATATATATACGTATACATCTATAGATATATATGTTTTGACATAGGACACCTGTGGGTAACCCTCGCCCCCAAGGCCGTTTTGCCTTGGCCGAATTTTGGGATGGCTAGCTGGTTGGCGTGTTGGCTGGCACGTTGACTGGCGTGCTGGCTAGCGTGCCGGCTGGTGCGTTGGCTGGCGCGTCGGCTAGCGTGCTGCTGGCGTGCTCATCGGCCTGCTGGCTGCCGTACGAAACAGCGTGAACGCTAGGAGGGAGTGCGTCTAGGCTACAGAGTGCGAAATTGGAAGGCTACAGTGTGCAAAATTGAGAGAGGTGCACACGCACGAAAAATAAGAAGCTACAGTTACGGTGGTAGCGTGAGTAACGACAAGCGTGAGAAACGACGGGAGGAAAAAAAAAAGAAAAAAAAAAAAAAAAGGATCTTACCTAGCTCAATATCATGTTAGAGTAGAGGGAAAAGTTGTGACTAAGGGAAAATGTCGAGGGATACAAAACTAGGGCTGTACCTACTAAGAACTAAACTAGCTACAGTAGGCTACAGTATAATCAAATATGACCTAGCTAAGCTATATAAATATATTTGTTGACAGACTCTGCATATATGTGCAGCACGAAAGGCTTAGTAGCTTTTGATTGATGTCGCTGATTAAGCTGTTTTTGTCTGTGCACAGACTTCATATTTTTATCAAGACATGCACCTTTCACCTTACATTTCCTGAAGCTCAAGCTGCACGTAATATTGTTTCACGTAACTCGTACAACTCTTGAAGCTCAAGCTGCAGCTTGTGGAGAATAAACCTAGCTGAACGATAAACCAAGCCAACATTTCATTACGTAAAACAATCTAGAGCTTTGTGGAGAATTTCCTTCAGCTTGGTAGAAAAATTCATAGGTCTCTGGAGTGTATTGGGTGTGTTATAAGAATAATAATAAAGTGCATTGAATGTATCAGCCCACTTTAGATGATGCCAGAGTGTATCCTGGATGTCGATCTGCAAAATCCGACGGCTAAATCTGAATCCACAATTGGCGCTGCGATAGCTCTACACCAATGGGCAGCAATTGACATCTAGGTTGGTGAGGATCCAGCACGAAAAGAAAATAAATTGATTAGCCCGCGTATCGGTGTCTAAGAAACTCCCATCTAGTGGGAGAATGCCGAGATTCTGGTGCCACGTAGCTGTGGTCACAAAGCAGGGACAAAAATATGACCTTCTTGTCACCATCTTCGTAACATAAAATCACACGTGGCGAAACCTATCAGTGACTTCACCGTCACTTCCAACGTCACATCCTGAGTGGGGCTTTTAACCTTCACTTGAAAGCTACCGTGTTTCCGCATCTGAAAACCCACGCTTTCGTCACTTTTGCGGGACATTTTTCTTAGAGTAGCAAAATGATTAGAACAAGGGAGTACAGGAGAGGATATAGGGTTGGACTTGTACCCTCTATGAACACAAACCTCTCTAGCCTATAACTTCTACATATAAACATATGTATAAGTTGACACACCCCCTAGGCTAGATAAGTGGCAGTGCTGAGCAAGAAACGCGCAACACACGGTGGCAGTACTAGTCCAGCCTCTGAGGTAGGAGTCCGAAGACCGGTCAGCAAGAGTACAAAATCAACAAGAGCAAGCAAGGGCTGCACTACTAGTCCGGCCACTGAAACAGAAGCCACAAGGCCAGTCAAGAAGGTATACATAAAGAGGAGTACACAACCAAGGCCCTAACACGTGAGGAGCTACAGGAACTAGACCAGGTCGTCTACGTAGACAAGGATGTAGAACAGGGTCTGGCCAGCACGAACGAAGAGCGAGGTGTCAGCAGACGATGGGAAGAACTTCATGTCAGTTAGTGTAGCACGCAGTGTGGCGTGGCACTCGTGGGGCGCCTGTTGCAAGCCGAAGACCAGGCGCCGAAAGAGCCATTGGGTCCCAAGAGGGAAGGTACCGGTGAAGCCCTGTGGATGGCCCAAGTAGACCTGCTCGTGAAGGCTTCCCTGAAGGAACGGTGTGGAGAAGTCGAGGGAGTGTAGCTCGTAGTCACGCTGTGCTGCTATGTGTAGCAGCGCCCGAAGAGTAGTCATCTTCGGGGTCGGGGCGAAGGTCTGAAAGAAAATGACACCCTCGCGCAGACTGAAGTCTCTAGCCAGGTAGCGCGCCTTGAACACAGGCGGCTCTCCAGAGGGGCACATCACCTTGAAGAGCCATAAGCCATCGACTACGTTCACCCCAGGTGGGGGAACTGCGTCGACAAAGGTGCCGGCGGATCTCCAAGATGCCATCTCCGCGTCCATCGTAGCTATCCAATGAGAAGCTCAGGGTCCGGAAAATGCCTGAGCATAAGTGCCAGGGTCGGGATGTCAAGGGCTTGTGGGTCACCCTCAACGACCAGCAGCATGGAACAGAGATGGGGAGCGGCCTTGGACAGGAAAGCAAGCTCGTACTGCCTATCCTCTAGGACGTCACTCCCAAGGGTAGGAGCACCCCCGACAGACGGAGGGCATGCAGGGCTAGAGACCAGGGCTATGGCTTAGTCAAGGCGGTGGGTAGAGGCGAAGTCAGCGCCAGCAGCGACATGAGCGTCAAGACTCGAGAACGGAACAGACGAGTCGGTAACGAGGGAGGCAAGGATCCGAGGAACAAGAGAACTAGCGGCACAAAGGTAGTCAGACAGAGGATGTAAAAAATAGAGCTGAAAAGATTGATCATGTAAGGAGCCCAAGGCTCTATAAGTACATGGCAAGGTGAGGGAGAATGGAGGAAGAGGGAATCGGTGGGAATCCCCACTAGGATCTTCGAAATCTCCAATTCGATAATTGGAGATTCGGGGGATCACAATTGGGTGAGGTTCGGATTTTGTGAATACACCCCAACCCACTAGAACATTCCTAACCTAAAGTAGGATATATGAGTACAAATACAAAAGTGGGATTTGCAATCTATTTCTAACACACCCCCATAGACTGCAAACCCGTTCAAGGAGCACATAGCCCCATGGAATGAAGAAGATGATGGTGGTTAGCCTTGCTGAGAGCCTTGGTAAAGAGGTCGGTGAGGTTGCAATTTGAGGCGATGTACTGTACCATGAGCTGGTCACTCTAACCAAGTTCTCGGATGAAGAAGTGACGAAGTTCTATATGCTTGGTGCGAGAGTGGAACACATGATCCTTGGTGAGGTGAATGGCACTCTGGTTGTCACACCATAGGGTGGGCGTTTGCTGGGGGTAGCCTAACTCGGCGAGGAGAAAGGAGAGCCAGCGTGCCTCTTGAGCAGCCATTGTGCCCGCATAGAGCTCGGCCTCGCAGGACGACAGGGAGACTGCAGAGGACCGAGTGGAGCGCCAGCTGATGACTCCGCTACCAAGGGTGAAGTAGTACCCTTGGGAGGAGCGTCTGTCAGTCTGGTCATCGGCCCATGAGGAGTC